TTTGGAGGAATAAATTTAAAAATAAACGTACAATGTGATAGAATGTATCGATCTTTACCAACAAAATATTGGAAAAAATGGTGAAATTTTTATTTTAAGGTTAAAATCTGACTTGCGATTACATTTAACGTCAATGAGAAAAATAACCGCAAGTCAGTCACAATTCCATGACGATGCTGCATTAGTTTAGCACAGTATTGAACAGTAGAAAGATACCATGGTCCCATAGAACGTTGTTGAATGTTTCTGGATTTGTTCCGCTGGTTCCAGAGCAATGGCCGGAACATATTCTGGTGAGTACGGGTCTTCATCAGACCATAGCATTTCAGAAACGTGCCATACCCACAATGCGATAAATCAATTCACATGAGAATTCAAAAATAAGATCAATAAGAGTCATGATGAGGAACCAGCACCACGTTGGCCACAGCCAAACATGTTCCGGGTATCCCCGGGGAAGTGGTAAATCCTTTTTAAATCAAAATCCATAAAGCGATACATCAAATCACATGAGAAACTGTCAAACTGAGTATCGTAAGAACTATACTGGCCACATCCGGACATGTTCCAGATACCCTAGGGGAAGTGGACAAAATCTGTCTGTTGAGACAAATCTCATGATGCGAAGTGTTGTCTAACATTTCTATCATATGTTTTTTTTTTTCTAATGGGACTGACTTGCGGTTACTTTTCGCTGTGGGACAATTTGATTTGGTATTGTTTTTCATTTTTCTTGAACAAACCACCTTTTTTCAAATGCACATCTCAAAAACATAGAAAGATAAACTGAATAATGATGCTAACTCAAAATTGATTAAAATGCAGATGGGACTGACTTGCGATTACCGGCAGTTTGGTATGCTCGAAAATGTTATTAATTAGCCAAAAATATGAAAATCTTTCGAAGGCGTCAAAATGTAGGTTCGTTAGTTTTAAAGATAGGGTAGAGTGCTACTTCGTCGTAATCGTCCATTTTCGTTCTATCAATCAGAAAAGATCAATAATATCAATGATTTCACCGTGCAGGAATCAAAAACAGGTTTGTTCCGATGCGTTAGTTCATTAGCTACAACATAAATCCCATTAGATTCTTGATTCTAAATTCGTTAATTTTTTTTATTTAATGTCTCAAAAATTAGTTCTTTCACTTAACTATGTTAAGTTGAAGTTTTCTTTATGCTTTCTACGTATTCAAACAAACTTGAAACTTTGTCGAAGACACCACCCTGTTTTGACACTTCATTGCAAAGTTATTGAACGAAGACCATTAAATTTGACATAGCAAATTAACATCAACGTAAAGCTCAATTCAAATTAAATCTGGACGCACGGTTTAATACACCACCGCGCTCCTGGTGATTGGAACAAAAAACGTTTGACAGGCATTTGTTGATGTTTCATTGACGAAGAAACTGGTGAAAAGTTTTTCTCGATTGATCGACGCATCCCGAAATTACGGTTCATGGAACTAGAGAAAAGAAAATTAATTGTGCACAAACATCTAGAGAACCCTTCGTGGTCTGCCTCAAAAATAGCAAAAGTGTTAAAATTCCCAAAGTCAACAGTGAGTCTTGCAATCAAACGTTACAAGGATACTCTGAGTGTGGATAGTACACATTGTATCTATCATAAAAGTGGCGCTAGGGACAAAAAGCTGAGGAGAAAGGTGTTGAGGTACGTGAAAAGCAACCCAGGTGTCTTCATACGTGATTTGGCAAAGAAATACGATTCCAACTTTTCCACCGTGCGTAACATCCTTTCAAGAAAAGGATATAAGTCTTTTTGTGACAGTAAACATCCGAATCGCTTCCTGGAACAAAATTAAGTGGCCAAAAAGCGAGCACGATTACTATATGAAAGAGTTTTGACGAAATTTGATGGCTGTATTTTAATGGATGACGAAACATATGTCAAAATGGATTATAAATAAATCCCCGGACGAAAATTTTACCTGGAAGCTGGTCTTGGGGAGGTCCCTTCCAGGTATAAATTTGTTTTTGCTGATAAATTTGTTCGGAAACTAATGATTTGGCAAGTAATCTGCAGTTGTGGCCTTAAAACCAAGGTTTTCATCACATCTCACACAATGACGTCGAAGGTTTACATTAAAGAGTGTCTGAAAAAGCGGATTTTACCCTTCATTTGACAACACAAGACCAACGTTATGTTTTGGCTGGATCTAGCCAGCTGCCACTACTGTAAGGAGGTACTAGAATGGTATGCTGCAATCAATGTTAATTTCGTCGCCGAAGAGATTAATCCTCCGAATTGCCCTGAGTTCAGGCCGATCGAAAAATATTGGGCAATTGTCAAGCGAAAACTTCAAGGATGCGGTAAAGAAGTGACAAATGCACAACAAATGCGTTTAAAGTGGAATAAGTTCGCCGGTACAGTGTCACCAGCGACTGTGCAGATCATGACGGCATCGATCACAAGTAAAGTGCGACAGTTCGTTCGAAACGGTGAAATGTAATAACTTGTTATATATCGTTTGAAAGCTGAATAAACACGCTGACGTTTTGATCAACCGTGTATGTTGTTTAATTCTTGAGTTATGATCACTTGAATGCGTCCAAATTTACTTTGAATCGGGCTTTAATCGCACAAAATTGCACCCTAAAATTTGCAGGGCTCATAGCATCTAAGACAGGTCGGGTGTGATGGCAAGTATGATGTATGATAATTGTCTACCACTCATTGTACCACGGAAACTAAGTCCGATAGCAGTGGGCGCTCCTCCTGTTTGATTTGATCAAGCTTAATAAACTCTGATTATCCTCAACATGTCACTGTATGAAGGGCCATAGACGGGTTTGGTGGAAGATTGGTAAATTCACCTATACGCCTCCTCGGGATAGTAGAGATTCTCCTTCCAGCCACATGATCATACAATTGGTCAAAAAACGAGCCATCCGACATAAGGATACCCCAATGAGTGTGGAGAAGAGCCCTCCCTTTTTCCACGAGAAGTTAACAACAGGAAGTTGACAATTTCACTCTCCCCATGCAAATCGCTTCAATCATGGTCCCTCCCAATTCCAGCATTGTTTTGTATATATGAGCCATAATAAAAATTAAAAAATTTAATCGATCTCACCAACTTTCACTATTTTTTCACCCTTCTGTCCAATTTTCGTGCTTATTTGTGAACTCGTTGTCCTTCTATGCATCACTGCTAGTCGCTACTAGTCTCCCGAAAGTCTCCCATGTTATTGTTGATGTGTTCTACGATATTTCGACGTTCATTATTTTTGTATGATGATCTTGAGTTCCTAGTTGGGTCATATATAACTGTAACACCAATGCGGAAAATGGACAGTGTCTCCGGGTATTTCCTTAACGAGCATCACTCCATTGTCGTATAACATGTGCTCCATTTTGCAGCTCCTTCTTTCGCTTTAACTTTGTTGACTCCATGCTTCCGGAAAAGTTATAGATATATACATTATTAGCAATGATGTGATAAAACCACATAGGGATGGCCGTTTGGAATGTTTTTTTTTTTTTTTTTTTTTATTTGTTTTCCGTCGATCTTGTTTTCCGTGCTGAGCACCAATGCTACCGACGCCAGGAAGGCAGCTCCCACACCTGGACCCTACCTATCGACCCATCAACTCATGAACCGGGGACCAACGGCTTTACTTCCCTTCCGAAGGGACATCAGAACATCCCGGCGGTGCTGACTGAGATTGAACCCAGGCCTGCTGGGGTGAGAGGTAACCACGCTTACCACTACACCACCGGCGCCGCTGTTTGAAATGGTTCAACGGATGTGAAATGAGGGAACATTTCAATTTAACACGATTTAAAGTATTTCAATGCAACATTACATTTGTTCACTAACAATTAACACATTTTTCAATGTGTTATCTTAACTAATTTCTGGAAGAATTTACTTGCGTTTTATATCACTGCTGTTAGGGGTGCTTCTGGAGGAATTCATCCTTGTAAATTTATCCGTTAAAAGTGCCAGATGTGATGACGGACTGACTCATTTTACCACATCCACAGATCGCCTGCCAGACAAGAAATGTATTGGCAGCTTCTAGACTTGTTCGAAAAACAGCTTCGTTCGATATATTGGACTTAGGCCTCTGGCACCAACTCTAAACCTTAACGACAAACGCTCATTTTTGGATATGTTGTTCATTTGGCCCTAATAATTATTTTCCACGTGAGAAAACGTGTCCTCAAAATTTTTTGAAAAATAAGCGCCACCCTAATGTGACGCGTCTGGATTTTCGAAGTGAGTGCAAACAATGTGTTGCGCTTCTGTTCTTGTTCCGACGCCATCACTGTAACCACTCGAACGATTGTGATGAAATATCACGTGTTGTTATTTTGGTATTTATTTGATTTATACAAAACCCGAGCTTATTGTCAGTGCGAACCTCAACCCGAGCCAGGTTACAAAAACAAGCGTTCACACTGACGTTTGCCATTGAACAAGCAGATTCAATCTTGATACCCGATCCAGGCTGTAACTGAATCAAAAACAAATTCGCTGTATTCATATGTTATCGGTTCTTGCTCGGGAAGGGAGGCCCCCGCATATAAGCGTACGTTCAATACCGATACCAACACTGGCATCACTTCCACCGCGAAATGCAACCGATGCTTTCGTCACGGCTGTGACGCTCCGCCACATGCCAACGCCATCGTCGGTGACAGTAGATATGTGTAGCTTGCTATGTACATACCTTATGTATGCCTTAACAACAGGATGGAACTCAACTGCCTCTCGAAAATCTTCTCCCCGAGAACTGGGTCCCCGGGCATGCGCCCTTGCCATCAAGGTCTGGGCATTGGTAGCGGAATCGGAAAAGCTTCCATGTATCGTCAGCTCCATACTCACCCACGAAAACCACCAGCAGCGAGCAGCGTGGTGCAAGCTCACTGCACGCGGTCGTCACGAACGCCACCACCGTCGTCATCGTCGTCGTCGTCCTCTTCACAGGACGAGCTTTTCATTGAGGCAGAGGACTCTCCACGAACATTGCCTGGCCCAAAGAGAATGTATTTCAACAGTTTCCGCTCCACACGCTGCAGTACACTTTCGACCGAGGAATAGAACGTCTGGAAAAATACCACCCAGCGGATCAGCTCTCAAAGTTCAGTTTTCAATTCGGTCTGACCCGGGACTATACAGAGTGCTTGCACTTGGTGAGAAGAAAATAAATTTTTCCTGGAAAAAGTCCTCCAAACAGTAAGGTCTTTGCTCCAGCGTGAGTGAGTCGTCGGTTGCGGTGCCATTGCGTTTCGCGAAGTGTATAAAAGTGATAAAAGTGTGGATTTTGGTGGAAAATCAAAGCTCGGCAATTCCATTGAAAAGGGAAGTGAATTCCAACTACGCATCAGAACGAGCTCCGATTGCGGAGAGAAAAGCGAGAAAAAAATTACTCACAACCGTACGACGGGTGCGTGAATTGTGGAAAAGTTACGTTTGTTGATTGCAGTGGGAATTCTGCTAGAGTGAACTGTAGCGGGGCTTGTTGGTGAAACTTTGATCCGGAAAGAACCCGAGTCAGGATTCCGCACCGCAGCACATTTTTCGGCACATAGGCGCTGCTTCCTGTGGTATCAATTTTACGGCAGTAAAAAAAAGGTAACGTCAATCAACTGGGTTCACACAGGAAAAAACGGAAACGATAAAGTTCTATCTATAATGATATTATTCCACGGTTGGTAGACGAGACGCTGTGTTTCGTCCAGCGGAAAAACAAAAACATATCAATGTCTCAATTATCTCCCATTTGTGTTTTCCATCATAACACGCATTGGTTTTGACTAAGTGTGGTTTGATACACAACATTGAACATACATGAGCTGGGTGCAGGAATAATGTTCGTTGATGCATTACGTAATGAAATTTGAAATAAGTCTGCGGTTTTGATTGTTAAGAATTAGCGTTTGATTGGTCGGTATGGTCGTAGGTGTTATAGTTTGAAGCCGGTTGTGATAAGCAACGTCAATGCACCGAATTGACCTTTTAGGTTTTTGAACGGCACAAGGAGATAGCAATGAAATGACAGTTTCGTGGTCATTAGTCATGTTGAAATAGTTAGACGAATATGTAGGAGTAAAAGCATTTCACATAGGCATGCCACGCTAGTCATGCTAAGCATTAGTATAGATGCTTCTGGAATGGATAAGAATACTTTCAAAGTGGGGCATTCATTAAGGATTGGGATATGTTTGACTTATTTAAACCATAGAAATAGTGGAGTATAAGTGATTCATAATAGTATAGTGGGTCACCAACTTTTAATAAAATTACATGTTATAAATTGCTCATCACTTTATCTACTGTACTGCAAGTAAGTTGGCCCTATAGACTAGTCAGTAAAGACCACGCCGGAGGATTCCCAGACTGGTCGAGGAAATTTTTCGGGTTGGAAATTTTCTCGACTTCCCTGGGAAAAAAGCATCATTGTGCTTGCCACACAATATTTAAATCATGCTTTGGTATTGGCATTAAGAGTTCTCAATTTATAAACTTATTAACTGTTGAAGTGCATTTCGAACACGCAATAAGCTTGTATGCGATGACCAAACAACTTGAAATGCGAAGAAGAATAACAAGAAGAAATCATGTAACAATCAAATGTCGATGACTCCATTTAACCCATATTCAAAAGATTCACGCAAGCATCCTGCGCACCTGCTGTGGAAAATGCGCTGCTGGATTTCAATGGCAGAATTCGTTTCCGCTCCTTCATACCCAAGTAACATTGTAAGTTTTATCGTGGTTTTCAAGCACTCTTCAAGTCTTTATAACCCTAATAAAACCTAAAATGTTACTTGGGTAGTGTGTGGCTGACTCACCTTCACTTCCGTTCTCGAATATCTCCTGACATCGGCTTCTGATGACAGTCAATGAAAACCTGCAGCTGATGAGTGTTCTCGGCAAATACACATCTTGTTTAACTGGCCTATCACAGAATAGATTTCATCTTAGCGGCGCCGGTGTTGTAGTTCAATCCGAGTCATAACATCTCCCCTGTTCATGAGTTCATGGGTCGATAGGTAGGGTCCAGGTGTGAAAGATGACCTTCCTGGCGTCGGTAGCATTGGTGCTCAGCACGGAAAAAAAGATCGACAGAAAACAAATCAAGGAAAAACAATAAAATGAACAGATTTCACGTAGGAATTGAAATCCCGGATTTTGATGCGTTGCTCAATTTGAGTCGATCTCCAGATATTTTGTAAGCTTGTAAAAACAGTTCTGTCGCTCTTGGACACGCCATCTGACGCCGCTACCAATATATTGAACTTTTAACGGATGCGAAATAAAAAGAGTGATGACCTATTTAAAAATTTGAGACTCTAGAATAATTCAGGATTCATTGTTTCGTGTCAGTCATAACTAATTTTTTTTTTATCAGAAACTGGTACAAGCCGAATTAACAAAAATGTGTAGTTTGACTGACTTCGTACTGTTAAAATCGTACAAGAGATTTTATATGTTAAATGATGGATTCAGCTAGATCTTTACTTTTAATCGTCAGAGTGTAAATGAAATCCATGAGCGTTCATTTGTTGCATGAAGATACATCATGTTTCAGCGTATCGATTGGAAAAATTTAAGCTCTAAAGGATATTGGTGATGATAGCCCAAGCAACATTATTATAGTCTTCAAGTCCATTCTAATGCTTTTAAATTAAGCAGAAACCCATGATAATTTAAACATTGTTACTTAGGACGTAAACGAACAGCCCAAGCCGGCCTTTTCCCCTCATTATTTTTAGTGTTTCCTACACGCAAAACAAATGGCATATACATCAAATGTAAGAGTCGATATCTTACATCCTCAACATGTTATCTTACAACAAATTTAACTTCAGTTCTTACAATGGATTGTAGCGTACAGGCAAGCTTTAATTCAGGACAAATATTTTCGTATAAACCTTGATGATCTTATGGCTGCAGTGCAAAAAAATCGACGACCACATTACATAAACAGTTCATAAAGCTAAACCTACAAAGTCTGCAGACTTCAGATTTGGTTGGAAATGCTATCTAACATAATCATGATAATTTAGTAGCTAGAGAATGATCTTAGAAGAGGGTAGATAGATAGTTCCGTTAGAGTACGGCAGTATGAAAATTGAATAGAAGTTGAAAATGAGCGAAGGGCCATTAATGCGGCAGTACAAAGTCAAACGCCCCCCCTTTGCCTAACCCGTACGATGTAGTCTGGATCCATTTCTCTCCAGGTACGGGTCAATGTTTGTCTGAGGCTTGCTGTACTCGGGTGGCGTTTAGAACAGGCCTTGGCCTTCATGACGCGCCTTATTGAGTAATCCAGCGGATTAAGATCGGGGCTGGATGGCGGACACATATTCTTCGCCCAGAACGGAAGATGTTCCTGCAACCACTTCTGAGTGCGGTTCGAGGTGTGGCACGGAGCCCCATCTTGTTGAAATATAACATTTGGCTTTGGACCATACTGTTCTTTGATCCACGGAAGAACATACTTACTTAAAATCCCGATCAAGACCTCCATGTTGACCTTGTCGCCTTCTGGAATGAACACCGGGTCCATTTTTTTGCCATCGGAAGCCACCAATCCAAACACCATAACGCTAGCAGGATGCTTGGTCAGATACTCGTTCTTGTTCTCGTCGGCCACGTCTTTTACCGGACGAGAAATAATATACCGGTCGGTTCTGGAATTTGATACGGGATCGACGGTAAACATGCTCTCGTCGGTGAATAGGAATCAGCTTAAGGAAGTTCAAGATTCTCTTGCATCGTTCGACTCGTAGGTTACGTGCATGCAAAGAAAGCCAAGGCATTGTATGCACAGGTGAAACGGGAACCTTATTTGTACGATAGTACAAACATTATCACGCATACGGTATGTCTTCAAATCTACAGGCAAAAAGTGTGCGCCCGCCTTTGCTCATTACTGTCTGTGGTTGTGGAATAGTTTTAGCGACGTTTCATCACTACCTAAAGCCGCACATTGCCGAAAGCATTTCCAGTCGATGGTGTGTTATAATGCAATTCTTCTTTGCCCAACTATTGCTCCTCTCGTCCGTCATGACCAACGTGTTCATCTCAGAGAGAAAGCAGTAGGGTGGTTGTTGCGTTCTGTACCATCATCAGCATTGTTGACGGCTACTCCCACCTTGAGTTGTTACATTCAAAGTTTTTATGTTACTTCATACGTGACACCACCATCGACTGGAAATGCTCTCGGCAACGTGGGGCTTAACTGCCGTTCTACGCATATCTGTCCCATGTTCTAAAAGTAACATCTGAGAAAATCGCGAATATCGTTTCGAATCATTTCTGCTCATTGGAAAAAAAAATATAAGTTAAAATAAGTTAGTACATTGTTCACATTTGAACAGAATAAAGTTGTTTTAGTTAAAACTACTGAAATTACCTTCTATGAAATTAGTCAAGCCTATTTTTATACGAAAACAATTCAGTGGTACTGTTATGCCGAGAAATTTTCTCTGAAGTAGGAAATTCTACGCATATCAGTCCCACTAAGAACTATTGCTTTTCGTGTTGCTTTGATGGCCACGTTGCGTTTGACGTGTTTACTCTTGTGGTTGTAAATATGTTTACATGAGCGTGCTTGAGTTCTCCGCGAAGTTTTGCAAGTGGATAGTTTGCATAGGCTTGCATCATTAACTGAAACCAACAATAAGTGAGTTGACATTGCTGCAATCGTCGTTTGCTACATCTATAAAGCGTATAAGTATGGGCATCTTGAGAAACAAATGTGCAGAACACAATAAGATTATAAAACAACAAAAAAGGTTATCTTCCATTTAATTCCACTTAATTAATTTTGGTATCCATGGCAGATACGTATTCCGACTACAATGTACAGTCTTCATCAGTGTCATTCCCACTAAAGAACTTATGAAAATCTAACCCCCTTAAGTACTCATCTCCTAGGTAAAAAAAAGTCAAGATCATAGGTATAAAAATGAAACTACAATGTGTTGAATCGGAACCTACCTAACTAATAAAAACCAAAGATTTAAGTAAACTACAAGAGAAAAATCTATTCAACTCTCTAATAAGGAAAATCCCAAAGGCTTGGTAGCCATCATAATGAAGTAATGAAATTGGGTTGTTAGCGGAATGCTTAAACAGCAAAAAAGGTTATCTTCCATTTAATTCCACTTAATTAATTTTGGTATTCATGACAGAAACTTCATTACTTCATTATGATGGCTACCAAGCCTTTGGGATTTTTCTTATTAGAGAGTTGAATAGATTTTTCATATACACGAACACATTTATTTTAAGTGTATTTCACCATTGTTCAATGTGTTCTACGCGTTGATTTCTAGTGTTTGAAACTTTGAAATGTTGATAGTACTTATCTATCAATTAAAGTGAATTGCACATTGAATCAGACAGTAAAAAATAAATTTTAATATTACATCCAAGGGGATGCACTTCAATCATGTCGAAAATCTCGCCACAAAAATAAACAAATGCAATAAAAGCAGCGTAATGTCAGTTCATGCACTGTATTAATGATAATTTTGTCCTTTTTTGCAAGTAATAGTACACCATCTTTTTGACACGATTGCAGTGCATTCACTTTTATGTGATATCAACATTATTTTATT